CCCTCGGGCCCGCCCCTCGGCCCGGCGGTGACGCCACTTCCGGCCTCGGCTCCGCAGTGAGTGGCTGACGTCAGCGGGCACGGTGAGTACCCCTGCTGGCCGCCGACCCCCGTGCGGGATTCCCCTCCACGGCAGCGGTAGCGGCGAGCGCCGCGCCGGCGCCCCGGGAAGGAGTTGCCGGGTCAGGGCGCGCGGAAGCCAGCTGCGCGTGCGGCGGTGAAGGTGGTCGTTTTCTCGCCCCTCGGTCTCGCCTCCAACCGGAGGGTCACCGCCTGGACATCCCTGCGGACCTCCTCCCAAGGGTGCCTTGGGAGGCCCCGTGCTCACTCTTCTTGAATGTGTTTTGTGAACCAGGGATTCTTTGGTGTGTGTAGGTGTGTGGTTGTTTTTACTTTTTTAATTTTTCGGAGAAGGCTTTGACTTGAGAAAGCTAGGAAGACTTTTCTTCAAATATCCATTCCCTTGGCTTCTGTAATGTCGCGCTTTACAGAAGGGCTCCCTCCTGTCTCGTTGCTCATGCTGGCCTCTTGCAACCCCATCTGAAATACTGTATTGACCTTCGTCGGGCCCCGTGCTTTCTCTTGAACTTCTCTCTCTCCAGCTCTGATCTTTCTTCTGAGCCTCAGAAACATCTTTCTGAGTACAGCCTGGGTGCTCCTTAGAAGTGAGGATGGACAGCACACCCTCCTCTCCTCTCCTCACACATCACCCTCTCCTCTCCTCTGATCTTCTCTCTCACATCACCTTCTCTTCTCCTCTCCTCTTCCATCAAACACTCCTCTCATCACACTCTCCTCTCCTCTCCCATCACACCCTCCTCTCTCTCCTCTCCTCTCCTCTCACATCACCCTCTCTTCTCTCCTCTCCTCTCCTCTCCTCTCACATCACCCTCTCCTGTGATCTCTTCTCACAGCACACTCTCCTCTCCTCTCCCATCACCCACTCCTCTCCTCACAGCACAGTCTCCTGTGATCTCTTCTCACATCACATTCTCCTCTCCTCTCTTCTCCTCTCACATCACCCTCTCCTCTCCTCTCCTCACCGCTCACATCACCCTCTCCTCTCCTCTCCTCACACATCACCCTCTCCTCTCCCAGGACACTCTCCTCTCTTCTCTACTCTCACAGCACCCTCTCCTGTCCTCTCACATCACACTCTCCTCTCCTCTCCTCTCCTCTCACATCACAGCACATTCTCCTCTGATCTCCTCTCCCATCACCCTCTCCTCTCCTTTCCTCTCATAGCACACTCTCCTCTCCTCTCCCATCACCCTCTCCTCTCCTTTCCTCTCACATCACACTCTCCTCTCCTCTCCCGTCACCCTCTCCTCTCCTCTCACAGCACCCTCTCCTCTCCTCTCACAGCACACTCTCCTGTGATCTCTTCCCACATCACACTCTCCTCTCCTCTCCTCTCACAGCACCCTCTCCTCTCCTCTCACATCACACTCTCCTCTGATCTCCTCTCCTCTCCTCTCCTCTCCCATCACCCTGTCCTCTCCTCTCACAGCACCTTCTCTGCTCCTCTTAGATCACACTCTCCTCTCCTCACATCACACTCTCCTCTCTTCTCCTCTCCTATCAAACTCTCCTCTCCACTGCTCTCACATCACCCTCTCCTCCCCTCTCCTCTCACAGCACCCTCTCCTTTCCCATCACACGCTCCTCTCTCTCCTCTCTCCTCTCCTCTCACATCAGCCTCTCTTCTCCTATCCCATCACACTCTCCTCTCACCTCTTCTCACATCACCCTCTCCTCTCCCAGCACCCTCTCCTCTCCTCTCCCATCACACCCTCCTCTCTCTCCTCTCATCTTCTCTCCTATCACATCACCCTCTCCTCTCCTCACACTCTCCTCTCCTCTCCTCTCCTCTCCTTTCCTCACATCACACTCTCTGCTCCTCTCACATCTACTCTCCCATCACCCTCTCCTCTCTTCTGATCTCTTCTCTCCTCTCCCATCACACTCTCCTCTCCTCTCGCATCAAACTCTCCTATCTTCTCCGCTCACATCACCCTCTCCTCTCCTCTACGCTAATCTCACCCTCTCCTCTCCTCACATCACACACTCCTCTCACAGCAACTCTCCTCTCCTCTCCCATCACCCTCTCTTCTCCTCTCCTCTCCTCTCCCATCACCCTCTCCTCTCCTCTCACAGCACAACCTCCTCTGGTCTCATAGCACACGCTCCTCTCCTCTACTCTCATATCACACTCTCTTCTCCTCACCTCTCCTCTTCTCTCCCATCACCCTCTCCTCTCCTCTCCCATCAAACTCTCCTCTCTTCTCCTCTCCTCTCCCATCACCTTCTCCTCTCACATCACTCTCCTCTCCTTTCCCATCACAGCACCCTCTCCTCTCCTAGCACACTCTCCTCTGATCTCGTCTCACATCACACTCTCCTCTCCTATCCTATCACACTCTCCTCTCCTCTCCTCTCACAAAAAAAAAAAAAAGAAGTGAGGACAGTGAGAATTCCTCTCACGTCCTTGGGACACATCATCAGGAAAGATCAGTTCCTGTAGAAGGACGTGAGGGCCTGTGAAAACGAGGAAGACGCTCGATGAGCTGCCCACAGTGGGCTCAAGCAGCAAGGATGGTGAGCGCTGTGCAAGCACAGGCACTATTTGGTTCTCATTTAGGGAGTGTGGCGCTAAGCCTGAGACAGTGCATTGGCACCTGCCCACAACAACCTACCCTTGGCTATTTTCATAGGTGTTTCAGACCAAGCACCTATGAAGCGGGCTCATTTTCATGACCCCTCAATCCACCATGCCAATAACCTGGGAATCATCGTGGAGCCTTCCATTGCTTCAACTCCCCAACACCCAGTCAATAATTAAGTTCCCTGGGCTCGACTTCCAAGGATTTGTCTGGCATCTGTATCTTGCCATCCTTGCCCATGGCACTATCAAATCTAACCATCTTTCATAGTTGGTAAGGTCTTGATTTTCCTGAGCAGTCTTCAGGCCCTGGCTGGAATGGGCTCTTCCCTCACCATCCTAACCTTTTGCATTGTCAACACTTACCCCTTGTGTTGTTGGTCAGTGTCAGTGGGTCGATTTGGATTCACAGTGACCCTAGCACATCAGAACGAAAAACTGCTCGGTCCTTCCTTCGTCAGCCTCACCCAGGTTCTTTTGCCTCAGCCCATTGTTGCAGCCAGGATTTCAGCCCATCTCCTTGGGGGCCTTCCTCTCTTTGGCTGCCCCCCTACTTTAACAAACATGATGTCCTTCTCCATGGACTGGCCTCATGGCATGCTTGCCTCTAAGGAACACTCTGGCCTTACTTCTTCCAAGACAGATGGGCTTGCCCTTTTATCAGCTCTTGGTACTTTGTATGTTCTTCTTCAGCACCGCAGTTCAAATGCATTGATTCTTCTATGGTCTTGCTTATTCACTGTCCAACTTGCACATGCATAGGAAGCAACTGAAAATGCCATGGTTTGGGTGAGGCACACTTTCGTCTGCAAAGTAACATCCTTGCCGTTCAACACCCTAAAGAGGTGTGCTTAAATATTATTTCTTCAGAGAGAATCTCAATTTAGAAGTCTTGGGAAATATACCAATTATAAGAATGGCTTTAATAAAGTAAAGAAGCAAGGACAGGGCTAGTGCTTTTGCATGTCATTTCTTACAACAACCTTGTGAAGTTCTGTATGTTCCGAGTCCTGCAGGCAAAGGGAGATGAATAATCAGCTAAATTGTGCCAAACCATGCGATGACAAAACTGAATTTAGTTGTGCATGTCAGTGTAATCTTTATCTTCAGAATCTTTCATTGTTAAATATTTTTATTCAAATATATTTAATATAGTAACATTCTCTAACAGTTTTATTACTGATAGCTATTTAGTTGGCATATATATGATATATATCTATAATATGATATATCTATCTCTATCTTATCTCTCTATCCGTATCCATCCTGCTGGTGCAATAGTTAAAGAACCTGGCTGCTAGCCCAAAGGTCAGCAGTTTGAACCGACTAATTATTTCTTGGGGAAAAGATGCATCTATCTGCTTCCATATATATATATATATATATGTTCAGTCATTTAGCATTTGCCTTTCACACTAAGAGCTTCGCACATGCCAGTCTTGATTCATTTATTTCAAAATCGAATTCTTACTGTAGAGTGTGATTCTTCAGCCTGTTTGGTGCGTAATGTTAGTTTCCCAAAGTCAGTGACTTTAAACAATAGAAATGTTCTGTCATTTAGTTTTGGAGCCTAAAATTCGAAATTCAAAGCCATGCTGTCTACATTAGAGGGACATGATCTGTATTCCAGTTCCTGGTAGTCCTGGGCATTTCCTGGCATTCCTTGGCTTCAGTCTTCATTTGGTCCTCTCTTCCGGTTTGCATTTCTGTGCCTTTTCTCCAATTACAAAAGTCACAGATTGTATAGTACCTATTCTACTCTGGGATAACTTCAACTGATGACAGCTTTCTAGACGCTTATCTAGAAATAAAAGTCATGTGCACCGGTCCAAGGATTAAGGGTTTCAACATACCTTTCAGAAGGACAGTTTAATCCATAACAGTCTACCCTCCAAAACACAGACCTTTCCTACATGTACCATACATTCACCTCATGTCACATCCCCAACAGTCTTAATCTATTCCAGCATCAACTCTTAAGTCCCAAACCTCATCTTCTGAATCATCTAAATAGATTTAAGGGTGATGGGGTATGGTCTATCCTCGGGCAAAATTCTTCCTGTTTATGGACCTGTGAAACCTACAATAAAAGTTATCTCCATACAAAATAAATTTTGGTGTAGGCATAGGATAAATAATCCCATCCTAAAAGCAGGGAATTGGAGAGAAAGAAGGAGTCCCAGGTCAAAAACAAGTACAAAACCCAACAGAGAAAATGAAAACTTAATTTTACAGGTTGAAGATAATCCCCTATCTTCTGAGCTTCCTCGGGTGGTGTTCCTGTCCTCTCGGCCCTGGGCTGAGGGAGGTACCGGGCTCCTGGTCCACGGGGGCATTCGTCCCACTGCTTCTTCCTTGACTGGAAGCTACACCTTTGCCCTCGCCAAGGTCTTCCACCCCCAGCCCATGCTGTCAGCCTTGAACCCACACCAAAAAGCCAAGCCCACTCCAATTGAGTTCTTTTGACTCAGTGGCCCTAAAGAATAGAGTAGAACTGCTCCACGTGGTTCCTAAGACTATAAATCCATACAGGTGCAGACAACCTCACCTTTTCTCCCTAGGAACAGCGTCCCAGTGCTTTTGGAAATACCCTTTCCTTTTCTTGAAGGACAATGAATGTTTGGTGCTGAGTGTCCATCAGCCCATGTCCTGTCCGCACAATCCCAGTAGTCCTATAGCTTGACTTAGTTTCATCCTGTCTTTACCCCTTTCAGTCTAGTCTGGCAATGTTTCTGCTGAGATATGGTTGAATTAATCCATAGGTCATGTACCTAATGTATTTAGTAAACAGTTACTTGGCTACCCAACTTTCCAGATCTTCAAATTCAGGTTCGTTTGTACACAGTCCCTTTCTTTCCTCTCCTGTTTACTGTATCTTTCCTGATACAGCCTCAAGTATTAACCAGGCTACACCATATACAGCCTGCCCAGAAATTCCCTGTCATTATTCAAATTCATCACTTAAAAGTTCGACTTGCTACAGAATATTCAAACATAAACAAACCAAGTTTTTTGCCACCTTATAATAAGGATCACCTCCCCCTAATGTTCAGGAGCATGTTCAGCACTTCCTTTTACAGATTCTACAGAAGTACTTTCAATATCACTACAAAGGTGCACATTTCTGGCATTGTTCTCTTTCTGACAATAGAAGCTTTCTCTGTAGCTCTCCTCACATCTTCTGAGAAGCACCTTTAATGTCTGTCTTCTACTACCCATAATTCTGTCCATTGAAACCAGTCTAGGTGTTAACCCTTTAGTGCCTACAAACTCTTCCGGCTTACATTTCTCCAACCCAAAGCCACTTCCACATGTTTAGGTATTTATAACAGCAGCATTCATTCCTGGTATTCTCCTCCCCCCCCCCCCCAATCTGTCATAACAAAACATCACAAAATGAATGGCTTTAAGCAATAACAATGCATTGTTTCACCATTCTGGAGGCTAGGCCGTGCCATGCTTTCTGTGTATATGGTAGACCCAAATATTTCTCCTGTAGATTGGTGTCCATCTTCTCGCTCCATGTCTCTCTCTGTCTGTTCTCTTTTATAAAGACAGCACTGAGATAGGATTAGTTCCCTCCATACTCATATGACCTAATGTTACCTGTTGCATCTGTAGGGACTCTGCCTCTAAATAAGGTCGTGTTCACAGTGCTGTTTTTGCTTTACAAGTTGCAAGCATTTTCCCATGCCATTAAATATTCCTTTGAAAGATGATTTTCCTTGTCTAAATAATTATTCAGCCATCTGTGGGTGACATTCAGGTGAACATCCTTATACCAGAATCCCTGTATGCCCTGCGGATTTCTTTAGACTAAATTTCTCAATGCAGAACTACCAGGACAAAGCCTATGAATACAAAGCTTTGGTTCTTACGGTCACATTTCTTGTGAAGAAGAGCCTATTAGTTTAGACCCTCCCCATCAGGATTGTATTCATGTCTTCTCATTGTCTGAAACACCTGAACGAAACCTCCTTCAATTGTATTAAGACTGTGACCAGGTTAACTGCGTGACCTCATCACAGAAGATCCCATCATGCAGCGGAGCACACTAGGTTAGATCACATCCTGGGGGAATCCTGACCCACCCAAGTTGACATAAAACCTAACTATCCCAATGGTGATTCTCAACCTTTTCATCTTAGAATCACCAGGGTACCACAATTTTCAATATCTCTGCCATCCATACTAATTAACCTGGATTTCTGGAGATGCAGCTCACGTATCAGTATTTTAAACACCCATGTGATTTCAATATGAAATGAAGGTGGAAAATCTCTGATTTAGAAGGTAGGATTTTTTTTTTTTCATTTTTGTGTGTTCTTTCTCCCCCTCAGCTCCCCAGTAAAGAACTAACTGGTGAAAACATTGAAAGAGCTTAATTCATGCTGTACTGAAACTCACATTCTGTCTCCATTTCTGTGAGGGTGAGTGTGCGTCGTTTGACGAGGTTTTCTTGTGCCCAGGTGATTTCAGACACTATGGATATGCTCTTCAGAGTCAGAGGAGGCCTCGACCTGGCTTTTCAGCTCGCAACGGCTAATGGTAGGTCTGTCAGGAAACTTGTCCGCTTTGATCAGAAATTGAGGATGAAATATGCTGAGATTGTCTCCATTTTGCAAAGGAAATCGAGTCAGATTAAATAAACTAAGGTCATATAGCTAGTAATCAGTTTAAGTGGAATCGTGACTTAAAAAGTATGTCCAACAAACAGCACCACTCTAGCTCATAATGAAAATTAGGAAAAGTCTACCTGACTTACACAAGTAACACAAACTTTTCAGCCCTTTCCCAGAAAGTTTTCTCAATAAATACAAATATTCACAATAAACGCAATGTAAATTAAGTGCCCAGACTTGTATCAACTTTCAATTAATTGTACATACCAACTCTGGGTCCCCAGAGCCCAGGCTCTTAGATAACATGCATGCCATGTTGCAGTGAGGAGGGGCCTTGTGGTGCCTGCTGGTTCAAGTGCTCGGTTGCTAACCAGAAGGCGAGCAGTTGAATGCACTAACCTCCTCACAGATAGACCTGGCAGTTAGCTTCTGTAAAGATTGGCAAGGTTGCGACCTTATGGGACTGTTCAACTCTGTTCAATGGTTTAGTAGTGAATCAGAATCGACTTGACTGCAATGGGCTTTGGGGGTTCTTACAATGAGCACTGTAACGCTTGGGGAGAAAAACCGACAGCTCATTCTTTGTTTCTGACTTGGGCTGCTTGCAGAAAAAGTGGTAAAGAATATGAGGAAGAAGACAAACAATTCACTATTGAGATTTGTTTCATTTGAGATAACAGTGGGCTATTAAGTATAAAATGTTAATAAGAATTTGGTTATTTGTGAAAATCCGGAACGAAAGGTCAGGACTGGAGCTAGAGAATTGGATGTCTCAGAAGGACAGGAGCTAACACTGTGACAATAAATGGGTGACATAAACATTTCAGCACTGGACCACTAGCCTGAAGGTTTGGGCCCCATAGGAGCAGGAAGGGCGAGAATGCAGAACATTCTTTGTGACCCATCCTCCATACTAAAAAAAGTGGTCCTGATCTTGACCACATTCAAATCCCCACCTGCAGACCAATTAAAGTCAGCCCGTGGGAGAAACACCTGGGCACCAGGAAGCTTTTCAGGTGATTCAAATGTACAATCACAACAAGACCCACTTTAGAATTAAGACTAGTTGCTGTCAAGTCAAATCTGATTCTTGGGGACCCCATGTGCGTCAGAATAGAAGTGTACCCTATGTGGTTTCAGTGGCTGATAGATTAGATTGCCAGGCCTTTCTTTGAAGGTACCTCTAGGTAGACTCAAATATCCATCCACCCTTTCACTTAGCAGGCAGGCAATTCACTGTATCACCCAGGGATTTCAAGAACCATTTACAAGAGCTAAGTTTTTTCAGGCTTATCTATCTTATCAATAAGGTGTAGTTAATCCTTAAAATGTCACTTACATGGACAAAGTCGTGCACATCACAATTTGAGGTAAATGGAAAGTGTACTTTGCTATGTACTTTTATAAAGGATGAGGAGCCCTGGTGGCGTACTGGTTGATTACTGGTTGGTCTGGGATCTGCATGGTGGCCAGTTCAAAACCACCAGCAGTTCCTCTGGAGAAAGACTGGACTTTCTACTCCCGTCAACAGTTACAGCCTCAGAAACCCACAGGGAGTCACTGTGAGTCAGCAGTGAGTTTGTTTCTAAAGTATAGGTTTGTTTCTAACGTATAGGCAATTCAACAGTCAGTAGATAAAATATACTTTCAGACATAACAAAGGTCTGCACGAATATTTCAGCTAGTAGTTAATGTATGAGTATTTGAATTTATCTTCTGCCTTCATTGTATTCTTTCTCTTACATCAAACTTTCAACATTCAATGAAGGGGAATCATTAATGAGAAAATAGAGAAAGAAGATGCTCTATTCCTAACATTTCACAAATTTTTAGATAATTTTACCTGACAGTCCTTCAGGGTTAAAGAAAGCCAATCTAAGTATCATGTGCCTTTTCTAGTGCAATTGGGAATCCTTAAATTCTGTTTTCTGAAATGTATTAAGATGTTTTCAAATCAGATATTCATAGGCAGACTTTATCTGCTACTAAGCCCCAAGGGATTATTTACTAAGATATTGAGGTAATAGTTAAATACTTTATTAAGAATAAATAGGTTTGAGATACAACATTGTAAGGCTAAGGTAAGTATTTATATACAGTTTTATTTTTCTCTATATTTTGTGGTGTAATTTTTACTTTGTAGAGATGAACATGTTTACTTATTTTTTTTAAGTAAATTAAATTGAAAAGCAAGCCCTGAAAATGAAACCTAAATAAAGTAAATATCCTATTAAGTGGATAGCAATAAACCATACGGAGAAGAAAATTACTGTGACTTTAGAATGCAATTCCTTGTATAATTTAGTTATACTCCAGAAAGAAAAAAAAACTAAACAGAAATGCACATTTCACGCAATCAATAGCTTTATTGCTGAGAGTAATGGATATTTTAAAAGTAATTAGAGTCCTCAAACAATGGCAGTGGGAATGTAAAATGGGACAGCTGGCTTTGGAGAACCGTTTGGCATTTCCTCAGAAACTTTGGGCAGTTATCATATGGCCCAGTAATTCTGCTTCGAGGTATACAAGAGTAAGTAAAAAGGGATTGCTTACGAAGCCGCAGAAACCTTTATTAAGCAAAAATATCAAAACACAGAGCTCTTGTTTCTCAGCATATCATCCATGTAGGGCTTGTCTTCGGAAGGTGGCGTTTCCATGTGTCTAGCCCTTCCCTAAGGCATCCTGTGCTCTGACTTCCACCTCATCAAAATGGCAGTGTTGTCATCCTCAAGGGACTGAAGTCATGTTCCTTTGCAGTATTCTCTGAGTTTTGAGGACAAAGATAAATCTGAAGGGATAAGAACAATGCTGTAGAGTGAACGGGGTAAGGTTTCCCAAGAAAATTCTCAATAGGGCATCCCTTGCTTCCCTTAAAGAATGAGCAGGTGCAGTGTTGTAGTGGGGGTGGGGGGTGGGAAAGATCCCTTGGTGTGACTTTCTCAGACTTTCTCACCAAGGTAGTTTTCCATTTTCTTAAAACTTCATCCCAATAAGGCCCTGTGATCATCATCATCCTCTGAGAAAATGTATTCAGATCACCCTTCTAGAATGTCAAAAACATTCACTATAGCCTTCAGAGGTGATCTGCCTTGAATTTCACTGGCCCACAGACTCTCCTGGGCACCTCTGTTTTGATTGGACCTCCCCTCTAGATAATGTTGGTCAATCCAAGGCTCATCCCCAGTTAGGATTTGTGTGACAAAGTGGTCTCCATTGGCTTAGAGGTCCTTAAGATAGCAGTTCTCAACCTGTGGGTTGTGACCTCTATGGGGGTCGAACGACCCTTTCACAGGGGTCGCCCGATTCATAACAGTAGCAAAATTAGTTATGAAGTAGCAACGACAATAATTTTATGGTTGGGGGCAGTCACCACAACATGAACTGTATTAAAGGGTTGCGGCCTTAGGAAGGTTGAGAACCACTTGCCTTAAGAAATTGATGAAAAAATCAGCTCTTTGAGCTGGCTGATCTTTGTGCAGTGATTTAGTATTCCTTTTGAAGTCCACTAATGAGACTAAGACAAGTTCTCGAATGTTACTGCAGCCATTTACTGATCACCGAGACATACTGAAATACAGTACATTTTGTCTGAAATAAAGCTCATACGTGTATGAACTGGAAGACTAGCGGCAATAATTTTTGATTTTATATAACATATAGAGAATTAAAAACATGTCCACTCAAAAACTTGTGCACTGATGTTTATGGTAGAATTAGCACTGTCATAAAAAGGTGAAAGAAGCCAGACACAAAAGGTCACACATTGTAGGATTCCATTTAGATGCAAGGCCCAGACATCCATACAGATGAAAGTACGTCGTGATTGCCAGAGGTAGAGGAGCAGGGGCTGGAAAAAGACACCTGTTGAGCTTGTTGAAAGGTTCTGGAAGCACAGTGGTGATGATTGCATACTGAACACGACTGAATTGAACATTAAAAGTGAGTGTTATAGAGTGTGAATTAATTATGTTGAAAAATTTAAAGGATGAAAAGGCACAACATTTGATACATATTGAATGTAAGGAGTGGCTATTTGGATGTCAGTGTTATTATTTCCTACTTTGTGTATATTTAAAAGCTTTCCTGTTGAAAAGTTTCCTTATCAGCTTCCACTTTAATCTTTTAATTTAGAAATGTTTATCAAGAAGGCACTGAGACACGTGTTGAGTGACCTTTCCGCCACGCTCTCTTCAGACGCACTTGTGTTCAGAATGTGCCACAGTTCAGTGTACATATGGCCCAACAGCAACGTAAACACCGTTCCTGGAGAGCTGGACGATGGTTCTCCTTGTAAGAACCTACTGCGCTTTATGCAGTGAGTATGCTTGAAGATGGTGGGAAATGTTTCCAAAATGTCATTTCATCTTCTAAACTTTGTGCGTGTGTTGAAATGTAGATGTGAACAGGAAGAAGGCGCAAAAAGAAAATTCATGAGAAAGAAAGAAAAAAAAGTACCAGACACGGTGAGCCAATTAATTATGTATGTTCTTTATTGATAAAACTTTTAAATCCTTGAATTTGGAGCTGAGTGAGTTCTTATAGATTATTTATTCTAACCTTTTTACTTTTACTAATCAGAAAACTGAGGTCCAGTAAGATTAAATGACTTGCCAAAGCTTTTATCTCTTTTACAATTTCACATATTTAAACTTTTATTGTATTATAATATCAACAATTTTTTTGGTTCATCTTTACTTCCTAAAAAAAGCAACCCTTTTTTTCCTTGATACACTGTAGTTGGTGCACTTATTTATTCTTAAATAAATAAATAATTTATGAGTAAACAGATAATCATTCTGAAATGGAACAAAGTAACACATTATGTTGTATAACATAATACATGTTTCTTCACACTGTTCTTAGCTCTATTGGTTATTGGACCAGTATTACAGAGGACCTGCCATGTGCCAAGATGTTGATACAAAACTTCCTCGAGGCAGGAAGTTGTATGAGGTTAATATGAGCATATTGGTTTTTCCAGGCTCTTGGAGAGAATGGGTGGGGGTGAGCTTGGAGAGGTGGACAGGGACCATTTCCTCCGAGGCTGAAATGAAACCAGTAGCCATGAGCAAAGATGCAGTGGACATGAGAGGTTAGGGAATACAATGTGTACTTGGAGACCAGTGGGTGTGGGGTGATAGTTTCCTGCTTGAGCAAAGATAGAATGTTAGGAAGACATCACGTCAGTTGGGGACATTCTCTATTTGAGACAACAGTGAGATGCACAGTTGAGTTGTTAAATGTGCACTTGTGGGATAGATGAAAACATACTGGGCTGGGGATAATGACTTGAAAATGACAGTAGTTGACGCTGGACGGTTTTGGAAGATGGGCCAGTTGTTTTACAGAATGACCCTCAGTAAGGGTCTGCTTTCTCTCCTTGTGGTCAGTCAGATTATTCACCACAGGCATTGTTGGTAGGGATACCGTAGACGTGAGCGCTCCTTAGCACAGCACACACAAGGCATGTGCAGTCAGTGTGTCCCTTCATGTCGATGATGTTAATTGTCATCACATAGTTAACATGCTCTCAGCCAGCCTGCTTCATGGTAAAGGTTCTATATTTTCTCTTACAGTTAGGAAATATCTTGCAAGAACATGCCTACACTGTTGTGGTAATGAAAAGTCTAATGTTTCTCCTGAGCAGTGGCTGGCAGTTTTGAACTGCTAACCTTGCAGTTAGCAGCCTAATGTATAACTACTAAACCACCAGGGCTCTTGCCTACACTGTTATGATACATATATATCTTATTCTTCATTTCTGCCCACTTTTTTTTAGCATCCACGGATAGTTTTTGCCAGAATCCATTAGAGTCTGATGGCTACAAAGTGGCCATGTTTCTAAGTCTTCCCATTTTCTTCTGTTTAATTAGATGGCATCATACTTTTCCCTGTTCCTTATTATCTGCAAAGATGGACAGATTCTTATTTTATGAAGTGGATCACAGTCTCTTACTGTTGGGTTCATCTGGATGTTCACATTTCCTCACGAATGGGAGCATCTTCCAGCTGCCTCTAGCGGCCTTTTGACTTTAATTGTGGTTTGGGCAAATCCGTTTTCCATTCAACCATTTTTGCACCTTTTGTTTCATAACATTAATTTCACTTCCCTAACAGCACTCTGTCTACATCCTCCCGGGTCCTCCATGTCCAGGCACCCTTCTTTCCTCCCGCTCCCTGCTTCCTGAGCTTTGTTTCTGGAGCATGCTGGCATTGTATTGTGGAACACCTCCTTACTGTCTGGCACAAGATGTTGCATGTTCATCATGTACTTGTACTTTTCCTTTTCCAGCTCAGGAATCAGGCATTTCTCCATGGAGTGTATCCACAGGCATACTGCACATACATACGTGTGCACACGCAGCACATATGCTCATTTATCTCTGTAAATCATATTTATGCCGCCAATTCAACCCCTTAGATTTCCTAGTCCTTTTTGGGTCAGAAACCTGGCTCCAGTATCCTCAATATTTTGCTACCTTTGTGCACTCGTACACTACATAGACTATCATTAATTGGCTCCACTATAAAAAGCAAACCTACTGACTAGAGTTCAAAATTTGTTTATAGTTCTTTATTCTTTTTTTTTTTTTTTTTTTTAGTTCTTTATCCTTTTAGACCAGAGAAATTTAGTCCAGATACTATGTTTAAAAGTTCCATGCTATTTCTTCTTTCCCCTGCTTCGATGATTAATTATTTTATGTTGTTCAGTCTTCTTTTTAAAATTCTGAATCTGCACACAAGTGCAGAAAATAGTGTAATGAACTGAAAACTGTAATGAATTTCAACATTTATCAACACACAGGCAATCTTGTTTCACCGTTATTCCCCATGACTCTCCTCCTGTCCCCAGAATCTTTTGAAGCAGAGATCATTTTTAAGTTGAGTAGTTCTCTTAAGCAATTTACTGTAATATATACTTAAAATTTTCCTTGAAAGGTCTTTTAGAGCAACCCTTTACATTTAATGTCCATTGTACTATAAATTGACTTCTACTGTTTATCTGTTCTCAACAACAGATAGTAAATATAGACCTTATGCTGGAAATGTCGACCCCGCTGAGTGCCGTCACCCCTGTCATTGAAAGGGAGAGCGGAGGCCACCACTATGTGAATATGACCTTGCCCGTCGATGCAGTCGTGTCTGTGGCGCCGGAGGAAACCTGGGGAAAGTACGTATGTGATGGTACCGCTGCCCATCCCTGGAGAACACACAGACCGTTTAAATTATCATGGAGACTTAGCTGATGTATTGCTGTTATCCTGTTTGCCAAGACTAACTTCTAGTTCTCTGTCAAACTAAGAGCCATCCAGTAAGTAAACATTCACTTGGAGAAAGTTGGGTAGCATGCTAACACCTATATAGTGTTCCCTTTATCTACAGAAAGCAAATAATACCGTTTCCTTTCCTTTGCACAATTCAGATTTCCTTTAACACACTGCTAAATCAAATGTAACAAGGATTTACTGTCACAGGGATCTACCAGGGAGTCTTGGTGCTGCCGTGGGCTGGGCGTCATCCGAGCCCACTCCGCAGGAGAAGAATGAGGCTGGCTACTCCTGTAAAGATTCACAGTCTTGAATAAGTCACTAAAAATGTATCAGTCACTATGAGTCCCAATTGGCTTGAAGGCTGTGGGATTTTGTTTCTAGGGATCTCTTAGCTCTGCACTTCCATTGCGCATAGCCTTACCAACTTCTGTTAGCATCATTGTATGTTTTCTCCTCCCAGAGTTCGTAAACTTCTCGTTGATGCCATTCATGGTCAACTGACTGATATGGAGAAATGCATTTTGAAATACATGAAAGGAACATCTATTGTGGTTCCTGAGCCATTACACTTTCTACTGCCAGGGGAAAAAAGTCTCAGAACAATTGTGTATCCATCAGGAATTCCCGATGGCCAACTGGAGGCCTATAGGAAGGTAAAACCAATTCATGTATTCACCGAAAAAGGACAGTGGCCATCATACATTCTAATTATGCTTTCTAATAAAAGGAGATTAGTCTGTGATTAATTTAGGTATCATTCATTTAAGCAATTATTCTTAGCCCTTATGTTACATTTTGATTCCACATGCTCAGTATAAATGTAGTTCATATATTCTTTGAAATGTCTATAATTTTCCTGTAATGAAATTTATCAATGAAAAGATACTTAATGTCTAGAACAGCTGATGATGATTAACAGATTTCTTTTCCTTTCTTTTACTTCCAGATTTTTAAGGGACTAGATTACAGTTGGAGAAGGAACATAAAATTTATATAATTGATTAGAAGATTGGCATTTTGTTAGAGGAATTTTGACAGAAATATGGCCCACATTCAAAGGAATGAAAGAATGTTGGGGTGATGAGTTTGGGGGTACATATTTTTGCTATGTAGTCTTACCTAGTACCTACTAAATTATACAGCGAGATGTCTCCCTAGTGTCTCTCTTTAAGAAGAGATGTGATATTTGACTCTGTCCTTCTTTTCATGTGCTACATGAGTTAACTGAGGCAAAATCACGACATGAATTGGTGAACCTGTTCGAACAACTAGAGTACATCGGAGATAGAGCGAAGAAGCTGCCAAACTTTTATATAGTTTTTACACAGTGGGGGAAATAGTACATTTTAAAAATGTACATTAGGGCATCTGAAAGCTCATGGAAAAACTCCATTGCCTTTTCATTTTCCCCCAGACTTTTTGACGCTCCTCTTATGTACATTTTTATTTTCATGCCTTACTGATTTTCCATCACTAATTTTTACTTTTTGATTTGACCACTATTCCTTAGATATGCTCAGCACTCTAGACATGAGAGTTTAAAATCCTTCAATATATCATTGTCACGTAAAAGATATTCGTTGCAAAACTGTTTCAGTGTGTCATTGGCATGTATTTTAGCAAATTATTAGATTCATTTTAAATTCTCCCTAACAAATTGTTTCCATTTTCCTAGGTTCTCTCACACTTTCTTTTCATGTACATAGATAAGCAAAAATGAATCTTGATGGGTTTTTAGTTTAAATATCACTGTCTTTGATCTTAGTGAATTAAATCATAAACATGTTTTGAAAAACCTTGTAACCAATAGAGTTAGTTCTCTGTCTTTTGTGCTTTTTGAGTTTACTTAGCAATTAACTAAAAATCTAAAACATTAACTTTTTTTCTCTTCTTTTGATTCTGATTTTATTTTAGGAGTTACATGATCTCTTCAATCTGCCTCCCAACAGACCTTATTTCAAAAGGTGTAACACTTACCACTTTCCAGATGAACCATACAAAGATGGTTTCATTAGAAATCCACATACTTTTCTTAATCCACCTAACATAGAGTCTGGTATGGTGAGTTTAACGAATGATGTACGGAAGTCGGTTGATGGTGAATGTCATTGGTTTTTGTTGGTACCCAGTGGAAGATTCGTAATCAATGAAACATAAGAGGAGATTGATAGAGGGTGAGGGTAGAGTGCTTGCAAGGAGATATAATATATATAGAGAGAGTGCTTGCAAGGAGATATTATATATACACATTTATATGTATATGTATATATATGCGTGCCAGTAAAGAAAATAGGCTCTCATAGGCATTCAGGAATGGGAATGAATATGTGCATGTAGCTGGGCCTCTGAGGAACCAAAGCAGCCCTGGACTGGCAGGTTTCTCAGTCTCCCTCAAGAGCTCCTGGGTGCCTTCTTTGCTGTCTTCTAGATGTATGTTTTTGGTCCAAAGTGGCCTTTTCCTGATCCCTGTTTTCTCTTTCCTTTTGTTTGTAAGTAACGCTTTTCCACTCTTCCTCACTGTGTGCATCATTTCAACGTCATTTCCTATTCCTTCCTTCCTGGTTTGCTCTGCACCTCTCAGTTCAAATTCCCAAGAAGAAAAAAGTTGGATTGACTATCTTCTCACAGCATTCCATGTTTGTAGCCAAATCACCCCAGGCTCTGCTTCCACCGTCACAGGACTTCACTCATTCTCTGTGTCACTCCCACGCCCTCACACTTTATAGAATACATGTGATTGCATTTAGGTCCCACCTTGGCATGCCACCTTGATGATGCTATTTTAAAATCATTAACTTAATCACATATGCAAATAAGGTACCGATCACAAATTCTGAAGTTTTAGACACAGGTATATTTTAGGAGGCCCTTTTCAGTGTCCTGGAATGGTCTGGTTGTAAATTTTCTTGAATGTCTGTGCTTGAAAAGAAATCCTCTAATTGTTAAGTAACGGTTCTGTATTCACCCATGACTCTTCTTAAGCTAATTTTTAAAAATAGTGATGGTAATACCAGTTTTTAAAGAAAAGACATGTTTTCATGGCATGATATTGTAATAAAGAGTTTATATGATACAAGTCTTTGTAAGGGTCATACCTGGTCCTTCATCAATGGCAGGTTTACAGAATTGCAGAAACTTCATCATATAACCTCTGGTGTGTGGCTCCTGTTGTCAGCTGCCTTTGAGTGGCCCCAGGGAAGGGCTGCCCAAGCCAGCACCACCCCTGTGCTCCGTTCTGCACCACCTGTGGTGGTTGCTAATTAGATGTTTTCATTGGCTGGCTTTTGGAAGTAGATCACCAGGCCTCTCTCTCGTAGAGACCCTTTATTTATTTGCTTATTTGTGCCTTTACTCCTTCTTTCCTCCATTAACTAGTCATTCAACAAACATTTCCTCAGCATTACTTGTGTCCTGGGCCCTGTTGTAGAAGTTTGGGCCCAGAAATAAATGAAGTGTGCCCTCATTGAGCTCAAATTGTGGGTATTGTGGATAGGCAGCTGTGTTAGTCTGGGTAGATTAGAGAAACAAATCCATGGACACACATATGTGTATAAGAAAGAGATTTATATACAAGAGGAATTGAACATTGAGAAAACATCCCAGCCCAGTCCAGATCAAGTCCATAAGTCTGATAGTAGCCCATATTGCTGCTATCAATCTATAAAGTCCTCTTCAGACTCACAAAACACATGCAATGACTCCGAATGCAGAAGATCACAGACCAGTGGGTAGAAAGTCTTTGGATCCAGTGGCGTTGTAAGCATCTCAGCGCTGGCAGCATCTCCCACTTCCAAGGTCTGTTTGCGTCATGTGGCTTGTCTTCTGCAATATCTCCCAAGGAATAGCAGAGAGAGAAAGATGTGTCTTCAGCCTCCAAGGAGGAAGTACCAGATTTCCCAGAATTCTCAGGAGAAGGCCATGTCCTCACTGAAGTCTCATTGGCTATCTCCAGATTGACAGCCTAGACTCCACCCCTACACTCTTAATCCTTAAATTGACACCAGATAAGACGACTACCACAGCAGCTATTTGAAAAATAATAACAAACAACGTGTCAAGTAGCAATAAGTGCTTTGAGACTTAATAAAATAAAGCAGGATAGAGAGTGGTGGCCAGAGCATCGGTGGGTGGTGAACGTGCCATTTTTAGACTGGATAGCCAGGGAAGGCCACTAATATATGAACACAGACCCAAGTGAATTGAAGGACAAGCCATATACTTATTTGAAAAGTGTGCATTCCAGGCAGAGAGAACTATAAGGCTCTGAAATCAGACACCCCTGCCACAGTTCAACCTAAAGCAGGGTAAAGCATCAGGGAAGATTAGGAGATGAAGTTGAGAGAGGGCTTGCCAGATTCAGGACTTCGAACCTATAATTTTTAAAAAACCAAGAAGGCATAATATCAAATCAGAGTTCCACAAAGTCATTTTTATAGTGCTAGTTCTATCTGAAGTTAATAATTTTCTGTATTTCTTCCCTTTGTATAGATATCTGTGGTTCAGGGCATATACAGTTATCATCATTATATGCAGGACCGAATGGATGACAATGGCTGGGGTTGTGCTTATCGATCTCTGCAGACGATCTGTTCTTGGTTCAAACACCAGGGCTACACTGAGAGAGCCATCCCAACACACAGAGAAATTCAGCAGGTATAGAATGCTCCACTGTCCGTTGGCATCGATTTGACATTTCGTTGGGCCCGTAAAAGAGAAGGGTTTTACACTTCTAATTAGGGAAAATGCCCTAAATGTAATTTTTATAACTGTCTTGTATATGTTTTTTTTTCTTTTTTAAATACATAAAGGCTCTAGTCGATGCTGGTGACAAACCACCAACATTTGTTGGATCACGGCAATGGATTGGATCTATTGAGGTACAGTTGGTACTAAACCAATTGATTGGCATAACTTCAAAAATACTGTTTGTCAGGTAAGGACTCTAAGAAATTAGATCAAGCCTTGCAAATGAAGTTTGTCATTTTAACTTAAATAATACTCCTCTCCCATTTATTGACGTGGTTATGCTCTAAAGGCCCAAATGCCATGTGAAATCGACGTGCTGTGAAAGCAGCTGTTTTCCACACCAGATCACACAGTGGAGGATGGCGGCATTGTTACATCCCTGCCACATTACATCATTCCATAACTGCCAGACCCCTGAGAATCATCATCTAGCCAAGTTGACACATAAGCTGAACCCTAACAGCCCACTTTACTCTCATGTGCACCTTGGTGTTTGTTACTGCCAGGTCTATGTCATTGAGGCACAAAAGTCAGAGAGTAGGGTTTTTAAAACTGTTCTTGTGTGAACCAACTGATAGCATGGCAGTTGATGAATGAGTGGAAGGTGTAGAAAAATTAATTTTTTTCCTTCACTCGTTTTCGCTCGTTCCCTCCTCATTGCTTTGTAAATCAGATTTTAAACTGTTAATGTTTCTGGTTAGTTTTTGGAAGACCCTTTTAGGTTATGAATAACCTAGACTCAATTTTATCCTAGGGCAAGGACAGTTTGGAACTGCATTAGCTTTGAGTGGAGTTACAGAAAGTCAGTTTCTCTTATGCTCAAGTCATTCAAAAGTTGTGAAAGGAGAAAACTCAAATACCGGCAGTCACTGATGTCTTTGTTTAGCTCTTGCTCTTGCTCTTCCCAAGGTATTAGTAAACCAACAATGTGTGCGTAGAATGTATATTTTATATTTTTTTAATATATGTTCATAACCCCAATATTTATAAAATATAATAAATATATTTTCTTTGACAAAAACTTACTCTGAATTTATGAACTTATTTTTTCAGGTAACATTTTCTACCATGGCAACCTTTATACCCTTCGTAATATTGTCCTCATGCACAAGTACATCCGGACTTGTGACTTGACAGTGGGAATTTACAGCTGAAATCAGTGCTAACAAACACGTGATTAAGTAGGGAAGCATACCGTGAAGAAAAACGAAAAGTTTTGGCACACATTAAAACAATAATTATTTGTTCCTTTTAAAATAAGAGAGCCATATTAGCACCATCTGGCACTTCCCCTTTTTAAAGAAGGGTTCCATCTGTCTCTTTCCGCTCCCTTCTCAAGTGTTGAAGCTGTACCACGCCAGGTGCTGAGGTGCAATGCCTACTGATGGCTGCCTCATGTGTCAGAGAAAAACCATGTTCCTCTCAATTCAGTGGCTGATTTTCTCAAAAGGAGAGGGCCAGGCCTTTCTTCTAGTCGCCTCTGAGTGGGCTCACACCTCAGCCTTCCCGTTGGCAGCAGAGCATGCTAATTGTTTGCACTACTCGAGGTCTCCTGAAATTGTATACAACATGGATTTATATTGCCTGGCATTTTGCAGTTTTCACATTAGCTTCTTGGACGGTCTCTCTTTTCATCCGGAGGTCTCCTCTGTCAGGGAGACAGGGCAGGTATTCTTGGTGCCGATTTAAAGATGAAGAAATTCAGACTGTGCAGTCTGCAGCAAGAAGCTAAGATCCCAGGACTTAACATTCATTCTTCAGATAATTACGGCTACCTTCTTCCTACCCATGAAAGTCCCTGTGCCCCAGCATGACTAATTTATTCTCCTCTTAAAAACTCAGCACCACTTTATCCAATTCCAGAAGCAGAAAATTAGATCTTTACAAATATTTTTTTAAATGATGTTGCTTTCAATTGCTCATTCATTTCCCTGCAGCTTATCATTTAAGAGCCCTGGTGGCGTAGTGGATACATGCTGAGCTGCTAACTGCAAGCAGTTTGAAACCACCAGCTGTTCCTCCAGAGAACCGCCAGGCTTTTAACTCCCATAAACAGTTACAATCTTGGAAACCCACAGGGGCTGCTCTACCCTGTCCTATAAGGTCCACACGAGTCAGCATCGACTCGATGGCTGTGAGTTTGGTTTTGGGTATTATCATTTAACTTTACATACATATGAATTTCACACATTTATATTCTCCATAACAAACAAGCAAAAAAGGTAAAGGACAAAATGTCGGCCTCCAAGCTCATTATTGGAAGTAGCATCTTATTAGAAATAGTTTAACTAAAGCACAGTGGTTTCTTTCCAGCCAGGGTTCTGAAATGGCTTCTAAGGGACGGGAGCTGACGAATCATTTCCAGAGTGAAGGAACTCCTGTCATGATTGGTAAGTTGTTTGACCATCTTAGGCTCTTTGGGTAGAGTGTAAAACTTATCATTGATATATCTACTGTCATACAAGCTCAATCTGTTAGAAAACATTTTAAAAATAGTTTTTGTATCATATGTATCTCTGAGTATTAAAAAGAAAAACCAAGGTGATAGAATGTACCAAAAGTGGTTATAGTCATGAGAAGAAGGAAAGCCTAAGAAAAGGAATCATGGTTGTGTTTAAGCATCTAAGTAGCCGGGAGCAACGTGGAGAAGAGATGGCCACTCTTACAGGATGGCCATCCTGAAGGATGGTGCTCTAAGCTGACTGACTACAAGACTCCAAATTGCTAACCATTCTGGGCTTTATTTGTAAAATAAGAGGATTGGATTGGCTGATTTAAAAATGCTGGTTCTATAAAGGACTTGTTCCTAGAAGCCAGAAAGTAAGCTAAGTGTGTAAGGAGTTGAGGGAGGCAGATTTCAGCAAAGTAGCAGAAAGACCTTAATAAGTGGCTGGGCTGTGTCAGTGGAGGTAGATACAGCAGTGGCAGCACAGCCACCTGCTGAGAGAAGGACGACAGCATGACTGCCACTCTGCTCAGAGAAGTCTGGACTGTCTGGCCCTTTCTAAGTCACCCTGTAAGTAATCCCATAAATAATGGCATTTTTGACTATATAAGGAGACTTCAAAAAGTTCATAGAGAAATTACAGTATCTTTTTTTTTTTTAAGTTAGGGGGAGGTTTATATTCAGATTCTTTTATCTTCCAATTCCATGAACTTAGTGAAGCCCCCTTGTAGACATAACTTTCTATGTGAAGCGTAATTGTTTCTTAGCAAAAGTCTGTTGTCTTTTTTGGTCTGGGGTGATCCATTTTAATGCTTCTTGAAGTCATTTCAAAGGGAAAACCATCAATCTTTTCAAATTGAAGTTAAATAAGGACTTTGATAATATCTTATTTTTTCATATTTTCTCTCATATAGGGGGAGGAGTTTTGGCCCATACAATATTAGGAGTTGCATGGAATGAGATTACAGGGCAAATGAAATTTCTGATTCTAGATCCACATTATACAGGTGCTGAAGATTTGCAAGTTATTTTGGAAAAGGTAAGCTGTCTGTTCATTTATTCAACATTTTTTGTAGTACCTAATAAATGCCACTACTACTTGATTGTGCGTTTGTCATCCTGTGGTAGCCTGTGTGTTGCTGTGATGCTGGAGCCTATTTGAAATACCAGCAAAGTCACCTAGCATGAACAGGTTTCAACAGAGCTTTCTGACTAAGAACACACTATGAAGAAGAAATAATTTTGAGGAATTAGCCATCAAAAACCTTTTGAATCGCAGTGGAACACTGTCAGATCTGAAGGCCTAAAGAACAGAAGTAGATCATTGTCTGAGACAGTGGCAGAAGATGAGCCCCTCAGGGCAAAACCCAAACACCAAACTAACTGGTTAATTCGATGCAGACGCTTAATGATCCTATAAGACAGGGTAGAACTGCCCCCGGGTGGGTTTCTGAGACTATAATTCTTTACAGGAGTAGAATGTCCCATCTTTCTTCCAAGACGTGGCTGGTGGTTTCCATCTGCTGGTCTTACTCTTAGTAGCCAAATGCCTAAGTACTATGCCACCAGGTCAGAAGTCCCTCAAAATGACGGAGGAAGAGCTGCCGTCTTACAGTAGAGTCGACTATAATGAGGTGAATGCAGTAATGCCTGTAGGAGTAAAGCCTTTGGGACCTTCATTTACTGGTGGGGCACGACTCAAAATGAGAAGAAACAGTTGTAAAAATCTACTAATAATTGGAACTTGGAATGTATGAAGTATGAATCTAGGAGTATTTGAAGTCATAAAAAATGAAAAGGAACATGTAAAGATCAGTATCCTACGCATGAGCTGAAATGGACTGGTATTGGCAATTTTGAATTCGAAAACCATATGGCTTACTATTCTGAGATGATACAATCAAGAAGAATGGTGTTTCCAAAAAAAGAGGAATAATGTTACATTCTTAGTCAAAACTATCATGACGTACAAAGCTTTCTGTGATAGGATAATGTTTATGTGCCAATACAATCAGTACAACTATTATTTAAATTTGTGGGACAACCACTAAAGCTAGGGATGAGGAGATTGGAGATTTCAAGATTTTCAGTCTGAAATTGATCAAATATGCAATCATGATGTATTGATAATTATTGGTGATTGGAATGGAAAAGCTGGAAACAGAAGGAATGATAGTTGGAAAACATGGTCTTGGTGGTAGAAACGAAGCTTGAGATCACATGATAGAGTATTCCAAGAACATGGGGAAATAGATCTATG